ATAATTCAGAATTGAAAATAAAATAAAATTGGATTAATTTTTTTTAAAAGAAAGCAAGTGAAGCATTAACTTAGAATTACTGTTGTGAAAGCATAACAAATCATTCGCCTTTTTCTTTGCTCAAACCAAGTAGGAGCAAATTTAGGGCATTGTTTGGGTGTCTTTTCTTGGCAGTTACTTGATCCTGTTCTTAATGTAATCAACTCAAAAGAGAGAAGTCTAAAGAGAACAATTTTCTTTTAAAAAATTATTCAAAACTAAAACTTAACAGGCTTCAAATAAAGTAAGATTTTTCGAATACAAAGAATAACAGAAAAAGATTGTACATGAAATTGCAAACCATATGTTACATACATTACATACATTAATTGTAAAGTAAATTCAACATGTGACTTAAAAAATACGCATACTCACTGGAAAGAATATACCTTCATAGGAATTATAAAGGATTTACAAGGAGAACACATGTGATTCTACACACAAAGGGATGCACACACAGGGAACATATGGGATTGGAACACATGCATTTGTATCTTCAGGACTTTGCACAGCGCCTGGCACATCATAAGTGCTTAATCAGTGTTTATTTACTCTACTCACACTTCCAACACCGCAAAGCTACTGGTATTTTTTACTAATTTAATCTTGCTACTTTCTGCCAGACTTACTCCCTCCAGGTATTTGTGCTGATCCATAGTGGCAACTGCTCAGTGCTGTTTCTCCACCAAATATTACTCTCGTTCTACCTAACAAACAACTCCATCTATTTTCAGGGTAACCTGTCCAAGAACTTGTCAGATGTCTACTATGGCTGTTGTTGATAGAAAATAGGTTATAAGCTCCTTGACGGCATGGATGGTTTCATTTTTGTCTCTGCCTAGTACAATATCTCCCACAGGTTAGGAACTTAAAAAAAATGATTGTTGATTGACTGGTCTAGCTTTTTGACTAGTTCTTTTAGCCACTACAGCTATACACTGGGAAGTACTATGTTTCTAAATGTTTCTGCTGTAGAGGAGAAGCTATGTTGCTTTCAGATTACTCTCTTAGCCTGCTCTTCTTTTAGTGTTTCCGTGAAAAATAAACTCCTCAGCTAAGCTACTCTCTTCAGAGCTACTTCCAAATCCTGCTTTGATGTTTACTACTTTTGTGAATGTTTGTCATCTATGTGACTTTGGGTAAGGCAATTAACTTCTCTGGGTTTTAGTTTTGTAATGTAAAATTAGGAGATTGTATTAGATGGCCTCTGAGATACCTTCTAACTCAAAATCTGTGGTCCTAAGATCTACTGTAAGTTTTATAATTAATGAATCTTTTTCCTTTTTGTAAAGAAGGTAAAGGTTATAATCAATCTGAGCTCTCGGCCAATGGCTATGAAACACTCTGCATATTTCCTAGTCAGCTGTCTCAGCCAAACTGCTCCAAAGCTCTCTTCTCCTCAGGTTGCCTGCACAAGAAAATATAGAAATCTAAGCTGAGATTATGTCTGCCCCTTGAACTCTTCTTACAATTTTTTTCTGAGTATCTCTTAACTGAATTGTTTTGGCTCCTCTGGGTCTCAGTTCACCTATTAACTAACTTGTGGATAGAAACACGTTTTAGATTTTAAGACTTATCATACTCCCTTTCTGAGGTAAATTTCCCCAGGGCTCTATTTCATCAAACAGAAAATGGATTGAGAGGTACTGTGGCAAAAAAAAAAAAGTTTCAACCTCACCTTAGCAGCCCATCTGTTCTATATAAGTTACAACTGCTAGCATTGAGGAATTTTGTCAGGCTTTTGAGCTTTGTCTCTTCCATGCTTGAAACATTCTCCCCTTCTCTTCTCTGCTTCCTAATTTAGCTGACTTCTTCCAAGTTCTAGCTAGTCTTACCTAGTACAAGAAACCTTTCACAATCCTCCTTAATCTTCTTGAGATTATTTATACATAGTTGTTTGCATATTGCTGCACCCATTAGATGGTGAGCTCATTGAAAGCAGGGACTATCTTTTGCTTTTCTTTGTATCCCTATCTCTTAGCATAATACTTGGTACATAGTAGCCATTTAAGAAATGCTAGTTGACTGGCCCATTTTTCCCAAGCACCCTATCTCATCCTGATTTCTCTTTGACCTCTCTACATCTATAAGAAATTAATTGCTTTATTGGCCTTCTTTCTTATTGCCTTTCTCTTTGACTGCCTAGTCTTTGTGACAGAAAATGAGAGCCCTAAGAATTAGTTCTCTGTTAAAAAAAAATAATTGGCAGTTAGGTGGCACCAGAGGATAGAGTGCCAGGCCTCAATTCAGGAAAACTCATCTTCCTGAATTCAAATCTGGCTTCCTACACTTATTAGCTGTATCATCCTGGGCAAGTCACTTAACCCTATTTGCTTCAGTTTCCTCATCTGTAAAATTATTTGGAGAAGGAAATGGCAAACCACTCCAGTATCTTTGCCAAGAAAGCCCCAAAAGAGATCACAGAGTCAGACACAACTGAAATGACTAACAATAACAAAGCATAATTATCATAGAATCACCAAATTTCAGAATTAGAAAGGTCCTCAGTGACCATCTAGCTCAACCTATACATGAATGAAAGTCTTCGTTACAATCTACCTAGATGACAAGCAATCATCTAGTTTTTGCTTGAAATTTTCTAGTGAGGGGGTTACCCCCTTAACTGACAAGGCACTCCATTTTCTTTTTGAATAGCTGTTAATGGTTAGGAAGTGTTACTTTAGGTAACATTAGATGTCACTATAGAGCCCTGGGACCCTCCTGTTCTTAATGACTCAGACATCTCAGGTACTGGGCAAAATAACCTTGTACTCTGATGGGGGCAAGTTAAAAGCCCAGGGTTCATATCAATTCTGCCCTTGGGAGTTTTAGTTATGAAACATATGAATGACTAATGGTTATTTCCCCAGTTAGAGAAAGGTAGTCTCTAATAATAGGTTAGAGGTTGAGAAGCACTGTCTTCATACTCATACTTCACACTTAGTACAGTTCCTGGCACAAAGTAACTGCCTAATAAATATTAATCAACTGATTGTCTGTCTCATGTGATATTATGCAATGCATAGATTGACCACAGAAAGTTATGAGAAAGAAAACTAGTTCTGTAACATAATTTATAGTAGAATTAAGAAACAAGCTTAGAAATGGGTAACACTTGTACCCAACCACAGTGGTGGAGATCAGAAATAGTTCAGTTTGTGATTGGCTGCATTAATCAGAGCAGTGTACATTTCTTTAGTGTCCATCATCTTGCATTGATTGACTGTGACCTGGGAAGAGAAAACAACATTTTAAACTGCTGTTCAAAACTGCCTCAACAGCCTCAGCTGTACACAACAGCCTCATCTGCTGCAGCTGCTCAGCCCCTCCTCATTGCTAGCCATGGCTGCTCCTGCCGCAGTGTTGACATAAGGGACTTCTCTTTTTTTCTAGTGGTACTTCTTGTTTAGCTATATGGGCCCCAAATGATCAACCACAGTATGCTTAGTGAGGGTCTGAACTACTGCCCCGATAAGATCCTTAGCATAGCACAGCCCTGCCCTGCTCATCAATCGTATCCTTAAAAATGCAATTAAGCAATTATATAAAGCTGGAATTTACTTTTTTTTTTAAAGCCTTCCACTCTTTGCTTCCTCACCTAGTCTTCTGAGACTAAGCAGACTATTTCTTGGCACATAGTGGGAATTTAATAAATGTTTATTGACTCTTGATTCTTCCATAGGATACCCACAGGATGAAATTAATGTACTAGAAGGCAGCTGCCATGTTCTGAACTCCATCCTGTTTCACTTCTTCCTTATTTTATCACTCCTATCATCTTTGTTGCTTAATCAAACTTCTAAATCTATTACAGGTTGTTTTTATGATTTAAGGATACAAAAATTTGGGGGCTATTGGGTGGAGACATAGTACATTTCATGAAATCTGAGAAGAGTACATCCAGCTCAACAGCAGCCTTTCTAAAATGTGACAGTCAGGACTGACTACAATATTATAAATGTGGTCTGACCATGTCAGAGTACAGTGGAACAATTACTTCTTTAGTCCTAAAAGTTATTCTCTTAATGCAACCTTTGATTTAGATATTTTACATTTTCTTCTATTACTAACTTTTTGACTTTGTTCTAATATTTTTTTTTATTATGGAGTTATTGAGTTCTGATATCTCCATTATATTTTTTCAAGGTATCTTCCATTTTCATAAGATTTTCCATCTGTCCTAAGCTATTTATTCTCTCTCTAACTTATTTCTAATAGCTTTTTTATTTCATTATTTTATCTCTTGCTTCATTTCTTCCAAGGTACTCTTGTAGTTCTATTTTCTCTGAGTCTTTACTTGAACTTGATATGGAGTGACTCTTTTCTTTTTGTTTAAACCTCTTGGGTTTCTTTCAATCTTTAGTGCTTGACATTTTCTTCTGTTTGCTCACATCTCTAAAGTCAGTTTCTGTGTTGGGATTTTGAGCTTATGTTGGACTCTGTTCTCTCCTGTGCTTTTGGATAAGGTAGCCAGATCCTACTTAGTTAATCCCTTCTTTCTCCAGAATGCTGCTGCCTCTGCTGCAGAGAGCACAACTACAATGGGCTGGTCATGTTGTTTGAATGCCAAATGTACACTTGCCTAAAAGACTATTTTAGGGAGAACTCACACAAGGCAAGTGCTTACATGATGATCAGAAGAAGTGATACAAAGACACTCTCAAGGTCTCTCTTAAGAACTTTGGAATTGATTGAATGACATGGGAGACACTGGCACAGGACCACCCAGCATGGAATGCCCACATCACAAAAGGTGCTGTGCTCTATGAACAAAGCAGAACTGAAGTAGCTCAAAAGAAATGCGAGATGCTCGAGTTTAGAGAATCCACCCAATATGTTCACATGGACTATTTGTGCCCAACCTGGGGTAGAGAATTCCAAGCTGGTACTGGTTGGATCAGCAAGTTGGAGGGATTGTAACTTGATTCTAAAATAGTGACGTCATTTTGGTTCTCTTTGAGGACGAAGGACAACAACCAACCAGCCAGCCAGCTGCCTCTGCTGTTCTGGAGGAGGTAGCTAAGGTGAGTCCTGACCCTTTTCAGAAATCTCTGGCTTCTAGGTCAGTCTTCAGGGGGCTCCCTCAGGTCTTGGTTTCAGTACTGTCTCTGTCTCTTCCTTGCACAGGAGTTGGTTCTATCCCCTTGCTTTGCCCTGGCAGGCCTCAACTGGATGTTGTTGATGGTTCTGGAAGCAGGGCTGCAACAAGACACCAGGTATTTTTCCTGAAATTCTTGGGCGCTGTATCTCCTGGATACCAGTCTGCCTGTGCCTCTTGCTGTGGCTTTGTTACAAGGTATCTGGATGTTGTACATGTCTGCTGCAATGGTTGTTGCTGAATTGTCTGGGTACCATGGCTTCTCCATCCCCTGGTTCTGTAGGCCCCTGAAAATCTCCTTGTGTAGGATTAAACCAGAAGGAGTGGCTGAGAGCCATTTCTCTTTGTTTGTTTGCTTGTTTTTTTTAATCATTATTCCTTCTGGTACAATTTTCTTTGCAGAAGATTTGGGCTTCTTTATGTCCTTTTATGCCATTGTCAACTTGAGATCAGTGCAATCTAAAATTACTCTGGGCATCTTGGCTGGCCCTGTTGACTCAAATTGAGTTTTTAGCCCATTGACCCTTCCATTCAACCCATGGCTTTATCAGATGAAGTTCTCTCTTTGCTTCCCCTATCTTATACTCTGTCTAATTTTTTGAAACCAAGAAAAAGACTTTACTCCATCTTATTAGGTTTGGCCCAATATTCCAGACTGTAAAGATTTTTTTGAATTATGACTCTGTTATCCCTCCATAGTTGGTATTACCTATAAATTAGACAAGTATACAATCTTTGCCTTTATCCAAGTCATTGATAAAAATGCTAAACAATACAGGGCCAAACACAAATCCCTGGGTCATTACACCTTTTTCCAAGTTTTTATCAAACCATAAATGACCATTGTTTGGGTCTGAAGATTCTGGATCTACTTAATTATACTATCTTCTGGCCAACATCTCTTTATATAAGAATAGCACGAGAGATTAAAAAAATAACAATTTACTAAATCAAGATAAACTATATCTGTAGCATTCTTCATATCTAACAGTTTAATAATTCTGACTTCCCTAGCTTCAAGTCCCTATTAAAATCCCACCTTCAAGAGGAAACTTTTCCTGATCTCCTAATGCTAGTGACATCTCTCTGCTGACTATTTCCATTTTATCCAGAATATATCTTGTTTTTACATACTTGTTTGCATTTTGTGTTCTCTATTTGACTATGAATTCCTTGAGAGTAGGGCTATCTTTTGCCTTTCTTTGTATCTTCAGCATTTAGCACAGTGCCTGGCACAAAGTAGGTGCTTAATAAATGTTTATTAATTGACCAAGTAAAATAAGATTGGTCTGGAATGACCCATTCTTGATGAAGCCATGATGGCTCTTAATAATTTCTTCTTATTTTTCTAGGTCTCTTTAATATAAAACATTGTTAAATTTCACTAGAATTTGAAATCATTGACCTATACCTTACAGGCTCCATTATTTTCCAGTAAAAATTGTGGTATGTAAAAGATATGTATATGCTTCCTATTACATGGTATCATTACAATATTATAACTGATTTTTTTAAGATCAAAGTCCCAACAGCATTAGTCATAAAGGAAGCTTCTCTTTCTTTTATCACTCATATAGTCTCTGTTATCTAACCAGACTTTTAAATCAGTTATAGTAGACTTTATGGGCCACGGTTTAAGATACAAAAATTATGGGCTTTTAGCCAGGGACAGAGTGCTTCTCATGAGACCCAGAAAGAATGTATTTTCCCAGAGACTTGCTGATCTCATTAAGAGGACTTTAAACTGACCATGAAGAGTCAGAGAGAAAACTGACCATGTATAATTGGTAAACTGAATACCATAGAGATGATGACAGGGAAATAGGACTTAGAGATGAAAAACATTTTAGGAATAATCCAGTCCAACCCCTTCAATTTCAGGCAAAGAAACTGAGGTCTAAAGTGATGTTCCTAAAGTTATATAGGATACTAGTAGCATAAAAAGTATATGAGCCCAAATTCTCTGACTCTACATCCAGTAATAGTAGTAATAACAAATACCTAGCTTTTATGAAGTATTTTAAGGTTCACAATGTACTTTACATCTGTTATCTTATTTGATGATCAATCCTGGGAGGAAGGTACCATAATTATCTTCATTTTACAAATGAGGAAACTGAGGCATATGGATATTAAGTGACTTGTTCAGGGTCACACAGTAGGTATCAGAAGTTGGATGTGAGTTTCCATGAAAGCAGGAACTGTCTTTAACCTTTCTTTGTATCCCCAGTCTTTAGCACAGTACTTGACACATAATAGATACATTAAATGCTTATTGACTGAATGAGTCACTGATGTCAGGTCCAACATTCTATCCATTTTGCTACCTAACTGCCAATACTGTGCCAGAACCCTGGTGCTATACCATATCTTCCTCTGCTAGGCTATGTGCCAGCAGTTACGACACATGAAGTTGTCATGTTGGTGAGTTGTCCTATAATCTTCAGGACATAGATATAGGGAGAATGGGTTATAATCTTACTCATGACCTTAGTTATTTTTATAAAGCATATCTATAGTAAATGTTAACACAAGTAAATAAAATGACCTCATAGGTGTCACTGACCCCTGGATAAGATGTCACTCATAACTGGAGAATGCCAGGGGAAGAGCACAAGCTTGTTTAAAAAAATAGATGTGTGTGTGTGTGTGTGTGTGTGTGTGTGTGTGCGTGTGTGTGTGTGTGTGTGAGAGAGAGAGAGAGAGAGAGAGAAAGAGAGAGAGAGAGAGAGTGCAAGCAATATGAAAAAGCCATGTATCCAAAGGATAAACATCATCTTGGTATGGATAAAAATAGAGGAAAATGGAAGTGATCACAAGTATTTATAGATCACTAAACTCAATGGAAGGAAGAACTATTCAGCTCCTAATACACGTTACAAAGATGACAGAGGAAGGATTTAGTTTTGATAAGGGATGTAAGTATCTGACATCTTGATAAAAACAGACCAAATGAGAAGTTCCTTATTTGCCTTATTGATAATTTTACCTTTAAGATGTAGAAGAATTGATACACTGTATATTGAGTACTTTTTTAGTACCTACTTTGGGGAGATGCAAGACATGATTCAAAACCTAAGTCATGAGCAATTTTTCCATAGGACTCTGGGATAGTGGACATAACAAACCAAAGAGTGTGAGAAAAGAAAGCCTAACTCTTGTTAGAGGCCAGGCATCCTTAGGACTAGAACTGGTTCCATCAATGAATGCTTGAGTCCAGTGAGAGGGCTCCCTTTGAGAAGAAGCAGAGAAAGATTGTACCTGTGTTCCTGGGCTCAGCAGTAATTCTTGCTGTTAGATAGATTTAGACTAGCATCCTACACCATATACCATAATCATTTCAAAGTGGATATACAATATGAATATAAATGGTCACTTCATAAAAAATAGAAATTAAAAGAGAAACCAGCATGGCCTAGAAGATAGAGGATTACACTTGGAAACAGGAAGACCCGTGGTCAAGTTGCACTTTTAACTGGTTATGATGCCCTTAGCAAGTCACTTAACCTCTCAGTGCTCAAGGCAATTCTATGACAATAAATTACAGAGAAAGTGCTAACTTGCTTTGGTAGAAGGGAATTTCCTCCTTCAGGAGTTCCCTATACCAATGAAATCAAGTCTTTATCCATAGAGGAGAACTACAAGAGGTGCTTTTCCCAGATATGGATGAGAAGAGAATTCTTACCTAGACAAGTGATACAGGAAATCCTGAAGGACAAAATGAAAAATTTTGACAACATAAAATTAGAGAGATTTTGTATAAATAAAATCAGTGAAGACAAACTAAGGAGAAAAACTGTGAAGTAAGAAAATGTTTTCATCTAATATTATATGAAAGTCTGATATCCAAGATATATGGGGAATTGATGACATTTAACACCAAAGTCATTTCTCAATACAAGGATATGAACAGTTTTCACAAGCTCGAACTACAAATGGCCACTGGCAAAACAGGTTCCAAATCACTTATAAGAGAAAGGCAAATTAAAACAACTCTCAGTATTACCTTACTTACACTCTACAAACTGGCAAAGATGCCAAAAGTGGGAACCATCAATATTGGAAAGACTGTAGGAAGACAGGTACAGTAATATACCATTGGTGGAACTGTGAAATGATTTGACCATTTTAGTTATCAATTTTCAGTTATACAAGAAAATTGATTAAATGGTCTATACCTTTCACCTAGTGATCCCACTACTGAGAATATACCCCCATGTCAGAAACAAAGGTTCTGGTGAGATTTCAACAGAAGCTAGAGGTTTTAAGTGAGAAAAAGGCAGAGACATTGCAATGTAAAAGAAAAAGCCTTCAGATCTAAAATGAACATTCCACCTGTTAGAAGGGGTCTGTTGCTGGAATAGCTCAATTACATATGAAGAATCTAGCAAAGATAATGCTCACAAGTTGCACTCCTACCTTTGTCCCTAGCCAACCATCTGGCCAAGGCCCCAAAGGAATTTTGGTGATTGTAACATCAGTTCCATATGGAACTGATCACCATAGTACTAAGGCAGAAGAACTTGAAGAAGAAACTGGCTTTGAACCAAGAATTGTCCACAGAGATGATAGATCTAAGGGATCTGCCTATAGGTGACAAACTTCAGAACCAAGAATACGAGTGAATCAAAAAGGAGATCTTTCTGTTAACCCTATAATAAGGGTTGTTTCCCTAGCTAAAAGACAGAGTAGGGCTCTAGCTGAAAAGACCGCTATAATACTCTAGCTGACAAGAACACAGTATTACCCAGCCAAGCTTGGGACTGAAAATGGTGAAAGATTACAGGTGCTCTTTGAAGATCAAGCCCAGGAAGCCAGTGGACCAATTCATCTTCAAAGGCCCATGCCCCAAGATGAGCTTAATGGCCAAGAAAACTGCCTAGCCCAGACCAACTGAAGCTGCTTTGGCCAAGTGACTTCCTTGGCTCAGGCTGAGTGATTTGTCTGGGACAGCTCAGCAAGAGCCTCGGCCGGGGAAGAAGCAGTTGAACAGCTGAACTACCTGCTCGATCCAGCAAGTAGAGGATTGCCTTCTCTATAGGAAACACTTTGCCTTACATTGAGCAAGCCCAGATGAGTAATCTAGTTAGAGATCTTTAAAACGACACCCACCGTGAGCTTCTAGATATAGAACAATTGAAAAAAAAAAGAAAACAATGTGAGATTGTATTTTTAGAGTTATGAGTTGCCTTGGCCATGTGTGTTCCCTGTAAACATGCCTCAGTCCCATTATGCTTTAAATGACCTTTCCTTTCCCCTATACCCCCATGAACTGTGTGTATTTATGGGGGAGTAAACATCTGGTTTGGGGAAAGTGATCACAGAGGGGAGTGCTACCTGAGCATTTAGAGAGATACTGGAAGATTTGTATGAGTTGATATAGAGTGAAATAAGAGGTACCAAAAATAATATATACAATAACTATAACAACAAATGAAAAGATCAATAAAATAAGCTGAATTCTTCAGTGATAGGAAACAGATAAACATAACTTTTATGTTTTTAGAGAGTAAGGGACTATGGAGTCAGAAAGTTGCATATATTGTCAGATATGGTCACTATCAGATATTTTTGCTTAATTTTTTCTTCATTATAATAGTCAGTGGGGGGAGTTTCTCCCCACCCCCAGTAACTGTAATGGTATAAATGAAAAATATTTGAAAGTTTAAAAAATGAACATAGTTATATTCCTCAGTAAACTATCTCAGTAAAGATATTGATTCCTCCTGCACCATCACCTCAGATTGATATGAAAAGAAGATTCAAAAAGAATAGGGAGGCAGAGTATCCCAGCATTATATTTCTTTTAAATTTGTATATTTGGGATAGTATGTGTTTTCATAGCTGTAGTATATTAAAAGCCCTCAGATTTTTCAGCTCATTTATTTAGTTGCCTTTTTTTGTGTGTGAAATTAAGTGAAAACTTAATAAATGTTTATTGATTGATTCTTCCACTTTTGTTATTTTGACTATATCCTGCTAAGAATTCCCTTTCTCTGCCACTGTGGAAGAATGGAAGTTAAAACTGAGGGCAATTTTCTAAAAACAAAATATATAGAAGGGAAGTATTTATTTATTTTACTGATGTTGTAATTTAGTAAGCACCCAACTAGTATAAAAAGGTGCTGTTGTTTTCCTAAATTGCGAATTTGCAATTCAAGTTAATTTTGGTTTTCTCTCATCTGATACAAATTCGTGGGGTAAATATTCCAGAGCACCTTATCTGCAAGTTGAACTCAAGTGAACTTCTAAACTATCTTCAAGATTAGAAATTTTTTAAAAAATCAAGTAATAAGAATTCAGCTCAAATAAAACACTGTATTGAGTTAAACTATGATTTTACAGATGAACTTTATTTAATGACCTATTATTTTTCTAAAATTTTAAAAATGCTATTGAAGAGGAATAGAATAGCATGATAAAAAAAAGTGAATGTCTTCTTAACTCTTAAAATTGTTTTGAATGTTTAAACTTGGGTTTTTTTTAATATCAAAAAAGCTCCAAGGATGAAATAAAGTAATACATTTTAAAATATTTTAAGTTAAAAAATATAACACACTATACAGCATAGTATTTTCTCCTTAATAATGCATTCATTATTCAAAACAGATTCATTGTGTGTGCTTTCTTTAATTTATAGGTTACCATAATTGTGCTTATTGCTGCCATCTGCTGGTTATCATGAAAATTTCATCTCTATTCTAAGCAGTTTCTTTAAACTCAAATGTCTTTCTTTTCTTGGGAAAGAACTATAGAATGTTTAAGCTGGAAGAGATTTTGGGAGTCACCTAGGCTGATTTTTATGGTGTGGAAAACGTGAAGCTCAGAGAGGTTGATAACTTGCTGAAGGTCACAAAATGAATTTATGGAAGAATGGCAAAGAGAATCTAGATCCCCTGGCTCCCAGTCTCTTTGTTACATTTTTAAAAAAAATTAATTAGTTATTTTTTAGTTTTCAACACTCACTTCCACAAGGTTTTGAGTTCCAGTTTTTCTCCCCATCTCTCCTCTCCCCCAACACCAAGATGTGAATTCTGCATACCCCTTCCCCCCAATCTGCCCTCCCTTCTATCACTTACCCCTCCTCTTATCCCTTTCCCCTTCTATTTTTCTGTAGGACAGCATAGATACCCCATTTTCTATACCCCATTGTCTGTATATCTTATTTCCCAGGTGCATGTAAAAACAATTTTTAACATTTGTTTTTAAAACTTTGAGTTCCAAATTCTCTTCCAAAAATATGGAACACTTCACAAATTTGTATGTCATCCTTGCACAGGGGCCATGCTAATCTTCTCTATATCATTCCAATTTTAGTATATGTGCTGCTGAAGCAAGCACTCTATTATATATTCTTATTAATAACTGTCATTTATATAGCACTTACTGTGTGCTCTATGAATATTATCTCCTTTGATCCTCACAACAGTCCTGGAGATTATCCCCATTCTACAGATGGGGAAACTGAGGTAAAAAAAGGGATTTAAGTGACTTCCAGGGTCACACAGCTATTAAGTGTCTGAGAATGTATTTAAACTCAAACCTTCCTGATTCCAGGTTCCACATGCTATGCACTGTATCACCCAGCTGCTTCTGAATTCATTAATTGAGTATGCACTCTAATATACAATATGTCCTTGCTATGATAATTGTTATTGCATTATAATGCACTTTCCTCTACCTACAGCATTAAAAGTTTAATGATTATTATATTTAAAGAATAACTTATTTAGTAGAATTGGAAAACATTGCCACCTACTTAAGATAGTTCTTGTGAAAGTGATAATAATAGTTGTTATGGATATAATGCTTTTAGGGTTTGTTAAGAAAGTCACATGGGCATTTTCATTTGATCTTCATAACAACTTTGTGCTTTTGTTATCTCTTTTTTACAGTTCTGGAACCTAAGGCTCAGAGAAGATAAGTCATTTGCCTAGAGTCATATAGCTAGTAAGTATATGAAACACAATTCAAACTCAAGACTCTCTCACTCCAAGTTCATCCTGTTATTTATTAGGCCATGCTACTGCTCTATTTTAGTTGGAGGTCAGACTTACATGGATCACAAGCTTTTGAAATTATTTGGCTTCATTCACAAGAACATTCAGTTATTCTACATCTTCTCTGTTCTTTATATGTCCCAACTATTCCCCAAAATTGCAGAAAAACTACCTCCTCTTCTATTTTACTGAGAAGATAAAGATTGATTTCCCATGCTCTCTCAGGAATGATATCTTTATTTCTCCAGCTGTTTTCTCTTCCTTCTTCTTAGCCCAGAGGAAGAGACATTGCACATCCAAAGCTAACTTCTCTATTTTCTCTGTGAGTTTCAGCCTCAGTTTTGTTTTGGTCAGGAACCAATTTCATTAGTGTAGGGAGACTTCATTGGCATACAGAATTCCCTCCAGTAATACAGATGGACAACTCTTCTTCAATTTAGATATTTAGAGAGTTCCCTGGGGCAATGAGAACTTAAAGTTTTAATGTTGCAGGTAGAGGAAATTATATTGGAATATAATTACAATTATTATGTCAACAACATTAGATATTAGAGTACATAACTTGACTAATGAATTCAGTAGCACTAAAATTTTAAGGGACTTGTCCAAGGTCACACAACCAGGATGTGTCTAAGGCTGAATACAAGTCTTCTGGAAGCTGATACTGGCTCTCTATCTACTATGCTATCCTGCTTCTCAACTTTACTTAATCCCTTTCATTTCCATTTTCAGTTTCTCTACCTTTATTAGTTCTGTCTTCTTGGCCTTTGAATATGAACAGGTATGTCCTTTAACAAACAAAACAAAACAAAACCTTTATCTTGACCCAGATTTTCCCTTTAGCGATTACCCTCTTTGCTTTTCATTGTCACAGTTGACAAACATGTAATTTACACTTCTTTCCATTTTCTTGTTTCCTTCTTAACCCCCAGCAATTTGCTTTTGCCCCACTCTGTCCTGCTCCATGAAATAAAATATCCCAAGTATTGTTTTTTTTTCATTCAATCACTTTGATTTCTGTACAGTTTAATATCGTTAACCACTCCTTCCTTAAAAATTTTTCCTCCTTTGATTCCTCAGAATCCGTATTAGCCAGATTCTCATGCTGTTTCTTCTTTTTTCTTCTTTTCTGCATCCTTTGTCTTTCCACATACAAAATGTGATCATTTCCTAAAGATGTGTTCTCAACTCTTTATGTCTCTCTTTTCAATTCTCTCTTTCTCTTTCTCTCTCCCTCCCCCATCTCTCCATCTCTTTCTCTCTCTCTCCATCTCTTTCTCTCTCTTTTCTCCTCTCCTCTCCTTCTCTGCTCTCTCTCTCTGTTCTGCTTCCCTCCCCCCCTCCATTTTGCTTACTTAATAATCCCTTTGTTGCAGATGATTTTCAAATTTTCAAAGTTCAGATCTTCAAGTTTTGATCCATCTTGAACTAGATCTGAATTCCTGCTGCTTGCTGGAAACCATCCATTTGTATTTGGATGTTGGTTATTTCCTGAAGCACCAAATATCCCCTTTTCCGCTAACTCAGCTGCCCAGACTAACTTTTCTTTTTCTTTTACTGGTAGCATCATCCTTTTACTAAAAATGAATAACTTCAAAAAATTTAGAGCAGGGGTTCTTAATCTTTTTTTGTGTGTGCAATATGATTAAGCCTATGGACTTTAAATGCATAAAAAATATATATGATTAAAACTGGGCATAGACCAACATCTTATACTGTATACCAAAATAAAGTCAAAATGGATACATGATTTAGATATAAAGGCTGATACTATTAACAAACTGGGAGAGCAAGGAATAGTTTACCTGTCAGATTTATGGAGAATTGAAGACTTTATGACCAAACAAGAGATAGAGTACATTCTGAAATACAAAATGGATGATTTTGATTACATTAAGTTGAAAATTTTTTGCACAAAGCTAATGCAACCAAGATTAGGAGGGAAGCAGAAAACTAGGAAAGAATTTTTACAACTAATGTCTTTGATAAAGGCCTCATTTCTAAAATATATACAGAACTGAGTCAAATTTATAAGAAGCCAAGTCATTCCCCCAATTGATAAATGGTCAAAGGATATGAACAGGCAGTTTTCAGATGAAGAAATTAATGCTATCTCTAGTCATATGAAAAAATGCTCCAAATCACTATCGATTAGAGAAATGCAAATCAAAACAACTCTGAGGTACCACATCATACCTATCAGATTGGCCAACATGACAAAACAGGGAAATGATAAATGCTGGAGAAGATGTGGGAAAATCAGAACACTAATGCATTGTTGGTAGAGTTGTGAAATGATCCAACCATTTTGGAGAGCAATTTGGAACTATGCCTAAAGGGTTATAAAAATGTGCATACTCTTGACCCAGCAACACCACTTCTAGGGCTGTATCCTAAAGAGATTATAAAAATGGGAAAAGAACCCACTATTTATAGCAGCTTTTTCTGTGGTGGCAAAGATTTGGAAGTTGAGGGGATGCCTGTCAATTGGGGAATTTCTGAACAAGTTGTGGCATATCAATGTGATGCAATACTATTGTGCAATAATAAATGATGAGCAGCAGACTTCAGAAAAACCTGGAAATATATGTATGGACTGATGCTGAGTGAAGTGAGCAGAACCAGGAGAACATTGCACACAATATCAGCCACACTGTTGATGACTAACTTTGATAGACTTGGCTCTTCTCAGCAATGCAAGGATCTAAGACAACTCCAAAAGACTCATAATGGAAAATGCTGTCCATATCCAGAGAAAGGACTATAGAGTCTGAATGCAGATCAAAGGATACTATTTGCTCTTTTTTTCCTTCTGTTTATTGGTTCTAATTCTTGTTTACAATATGACTAATGTGAAAATATGTTTAATAGGAATGTATACGTACAGCCTATATCAGATTGCACACCTTCTTTGGGAGACAGGAGAGGAGGGAGGGGGAGAAAATTTAAGACTCAAAAGCTTATGGAAGTGAATGTTGAATACTAAAAATAAATAATTTAATTAAAATTAAAAAATACACAGCACTACAAAAGAAACCATTTATATTGAAATATGGTTATCAAAATAGTTTTTAAATTAAGTTCATGGACCCTAGGGTAAGAATCCCTAATTTAGAGATAGAAAGGATGTCACAGAGGCTATCTGGCCTAATTCTTTCATCCTACAGAAATGTGTACTGAGGTCCTGAAAGATTAAGTGACTTGGCAAGACTGTGCTGTCAGTCAGGGACCTGGATTTGAATATGGGCTTTGATACACTCTATCCATATGTGACTCTGGGCTAGTCTCGCTGAACCTCAGTTGCCACATCTATAATACTGCAATTAATAATACTTTTATTCTCTATTGTTGAATTATTGTTGGAAAAGAGTTTTATAAATTAAAACACTGGATAAATGTGAGTTATTATCAGACAGTCACATAGGTAGTAAATAGCACAGCAAGGATTAAAATGTGGGTCCTTTAGATCCAAAATTTGGTGTTCTTTTCATTACACACACAGTTGCCTTTCTGAAAATGAGTCATATTTGACTCTTTTCTCTCACTCACTCTATGTCTAACCCATTTCATTCCAATGAACATTTTCAAAGTTCTTATTGTATGTCCAGCAAGTTCTGGGGATATAAAGATAAAGAAAACCATCTTACCCTCAATGAGCTTATAATCTATTAGAGGTTTATAAAAATATAAGTGTGTAAAGGTTAATTTTAAGGGAAAAGAGTGAGTACAATCAAAAGTCCTGTAAATTTTTTCCTTACTAATGGCTGCCTTTTAATTTCTACTGCTACTGCCAAAATGGTCCTAAATTTCCTCATGCCTAGACTCATGCATAAGGTAATGTATACTCATTCCTGTTAGGTGGTTCCATAATGTCATGTATGCATTTCATTTTAGTTTAATTTTTAACTAACACTAATTTTTTTAATTTTTAAAATTCATTAAATTTTTTTTCAAGTATCTATTTTTTTCTCCCTGCCTCCCTTTCCATCCACCCACTGAAAACAAACAAATAAACAAACAAAAAACCAACAACACTTCTAACAAATAAGCATAGTCAAGTAGGACAAATTTTCACACTGGTCATGTCCAAAATGTATGACTCATTTTGCATATTAATCCATTACTTATTTGTCAAGTGTTGCGAATTAGTGTTCATCAGACCTATAAAATTATGTTTAATCATTGTGCTAATTAGAGTTCTTAAATCTTCCAAAAATTGTTCATTTTACAATGGGCTTATTATAGTATAAAACATTCTTCTAGTTCAGGTCATTTCACTCTGCATCATCCCATGAAGGTCTTCCTAGGTCTCTTTAAAACTGTTTTTTTTCCTCAGACACTTGACACTTACTGGCTGTGTGATCCTGGGCAAGTCACTTAACCCTAGTTGCCTCACCAAAAAAACAAACAAAAAAACCAAGCAAAAAAAAAACCACCTGTCTTTTCTTCATTTTTTTTTACATTACAATAATATTATGTTATATTCATATGCCATAATTTGTTCAACCATTCCCCATTTGTTGGGCATTCCCTTAGTTTCCAGTTCTTTGCTGTTACAAAAAAAAACTGCTATAAATACTTTTGTATATATAAAATATTTTCCTCTTTTTTTGATCTTTTTGGAGTAACGGATTAAGAGTATTATGGATGGGTCAAAGGGTATATGCTTTTTAGTAGCTTTTGAGCATAATTCTAAAATGTTCCCAAATGACTGGACCAATTCATGGCAATATGCCTGTTTTTCTGCTTTCCAACATTTTCCTTTGTTGTCAACCTTTCCAATCTAATGGGTGGGAGGTGGAATCTCAGAATTGCTTTAATTTTCATTTTTAAAAAATGTTAGTGATTCTTGCAGCATTTTTTCAAATGGTTATAAATAACTTAGATTCCTTTCCTCCTACATGTTCTTTTAAAAAATACATAATTTTATTTATTTCATTAAATATTTCTGAATTATATGTGAAATTTTTAACATTCATTTTAAAAATTTTGAGTTCCAAATTGTTGCCTCCCTCCTGCCCCTCCTCCATTCATTGAGAATAAAATATGCTTATGTTCTAAAATAATAATAAAGCCCAAATTCCTTAGCATTGTCTTCAGATTCTCCTACAATTTGACTCCAGCCTAGCTTTCCAGCCATTTCTTTATGGGAAATTACTACAGCCAAACTTGCCTACTTCCTGACCTCTCAACATATTTCTGAACATTATCTAACCTTGGAATCTTTATTAATGTTTTCTTCTTGACTGTATTTAAAAAAAAAGGGATTAGCCAAAAAATCAGAAAAAAATCAATTAATGTTTTTTCAGTCATGGAAATTCAATTCAATTCAACAAACATTAGTTAAATCTCTTATGTGCAAGGCAAAATGTGCTAAATACTAGGGGGTAAAGTGGCAAAATGACAAAGCTGCCTACAAAAGCTTCTATTCTACTAGAAAAAATTAATTCTACACTAGCATTTTCTTAATTTAGGTATTATAGACAAAAATACACTTTTGAGAAATGTTTTGATAAGTTCAAACAAATATATCATGACTTACAATAGAGATTGGACCTGTGATTTCATTGATGCAGGAATACCTAGTAAAGAATTTCCTCTACCATTTGAAACTGGCACATTCTGTACAATTTATAGCCTCAGAGAATTGTTACCTAAAGTACTGAGATGTTTTGCCCAGGAAAACACAGCAAGTATGTATCAGAGGCAGGATTTGAACCTAGGTAGTCCTTGTTCCGAAGCTGGCTCTCTATCCATTTAGCTACAACAATTTAAATCTATTTAAAAGACAGTTTCTTTTTTATTATTGTTGCATTTCTGATATGCGACCTGTAGAATTTTTATGCCCACCAATTAAAATTTTTTTTTTTAGCAGCTCTTTCTAGGAATGCTTTCAGAAGCATATCTCTTTGGAATTGCCTACTGGTCTGACAACCACCTCACTTGTACTCCTAGTGATGAAAAGGTTGCTGAGGAGAAGGCAATGGAGATGAACTCTACCAGTAGTATCCCCTGTTCTTCTGCAGATGAAGCACAAGACAAAAGTATTCATTGGAGATGCAAGCCTCCTGGAAATTTTATTTCTTCAGTCCGTTCGAGAGAAAGTCAACAAAGCAGGAAACAAAAAGTGACAGTGCTAGAATCAAGTCACAATCCTCAACTTGAATGGCAAACTTCTGCTGGGGTTGAAGACTGTGGAGACTCCAATATGAGCAGAGAAACCTATTTGGTTCCTCCTTCCTGTAAAAGTATTTGCAAGAATTACAATGATTTACACATTGCTGGGGGCCAAGTTATGGCCATCAACTTAGCTGCAACAGATTCTACCTTGGAAAGCAGCTTTGAATTTGGCCCACTATTGAAATCTTCAGAAATTCCTTTGCCTATGGAGGAATCTATTTCAACTCAATTGAGTGATTTGTCTTGCAAACCCCTTCAAAGACACTCATCTTACTGGAGAATAACCAGCATCAAGGACAAAAGTATTGTGCCACTTCAGAAGCCTCTTTCCAATGCCATGCTGAATGAATATTTGGAGCAGAAGGTAATGGAGTTGTATAAACAGTATTTCATGGACACTGTATTTCATGACAGCTCTCCTATTCAGATTCTGGGCTCAGAGCTCATCATGACAAGTGTGGATCAAATCAGCCTACAGATATCACGGGAGAAAAACTTAGAGGCCATAAAGGCCAAGGATATGGTTATTAACTGCCTGTTACGACTAGTCTCCACTGAAATCAGCACACCTAGTCTGCATATTTCCCAATATAGCAATGTGAGTCTATGAAAAAGATATCTTAATTCCTCTTACAGTTGAACTCAAAGCTGTATTCTATTTAATTTTTTTTTCCTGAAGAAAGAAAACAGGAAGTAAGAGTGAAAGGTTCAAATCATGGAGTAGTTATGTACAATGTGTCTCAGAGATGTGGAATGAAGGGCAAAAAGGATGACAGTAAAATGAAGAAAGAATACCAGGAAAGAATAATAAATTATTTTAAAGAACAAGTACATCAACTAAACAAGATAAAAACAACTGAACAAAAGAGAAAATAAACGTCAGGCTCATATACTATTTCAAGAGAAGGAAAATTACAGTCAAAGGAAAACAAAAACAAAAAGTGTTCTCAGTTTCCAAGTTAAAGAATTATCTTTTTGTATATTGCCTAGGGCATTTGGGAAACATGGAAAAGTATAGAAAACTGCTAATAAGGGAGTAGGTTAACACTGTGTTTATTGCAAAAAAAAAAAAAGGAAAGGAAAAAGAAAAGGAAAAAAAACATTCCTGGGCAGGTCCATATTTTCCAAATTATGAAAATATGTATATTTATATTTGTGCTTGTGGTTTTTTTCCCTCTTATTTTATCAGAAAATCACTTAAAGGACCAATCATCTAGAGCATATTTTTTAGATGAAGGGAAATTTCTGTGTTTTTTTCTCTATATGGATGATTACTTCAGCACAAGTATGTGAGTAAGTCATGTTCCCACATCTACAAGTCTCTGCAAAAAAAAAAGATTATCAAAAAGTGAAAGAAATTGTGACAATCTGAAACTTCAACTTAACTTTGATAAGCAGACTTAGAGCTGAAATAGTACACAGAAGTCATCTAGTCTTTCATTTTGCATATGAGGTAACTGAGGCCTGGAGAGGTTGAAAGACTTGCCTAAAGTCACACAGAGTGTGACAGAGTTTACACACGATGACAGTGTTTAGATTCAAACCCTGGCCCTTTGGCTCCAGATCCCACACACTTTCCATGCACCATATTGCCTTGGGGATACTGTGCTTTTATTAAAGAACATAACTGGTTGCATTTCTCATTTTTGTCCCCTTGAAAGCCTCCAATACATACACACACACACACACACACACACACACACACACACACACACATCCCACAGGAGCCAAGAATAGATTTGCCAAACTGCTCTTCCTTGTAAAGTTATAGATTCTAAAATTAAATAATATACATGCTGGTTTAAGTCTGATCCTGTAATATGTAATTGCTAATTTTTTTAAACAAACATACAATTTTGTATAATGACAATAATGGTTTGATTTGAAATCTGTGTTTGAAATATTAAAGAAATGTGGCATATCTGTAACTTTTCTACATGTAACAATATTGACTTTCTGTGTTTTAATAATACTTTCAAAACTTTTAGTGACACCATACATTAAAAAATAACATGAGAAGCATTTGTTCTACACATGCAACTCTCCTTTCAATGAGTGCTTTGCAAGACCTGTGGTTTGTTTTATAGTGTAGCAGGAAACAGAGTCAGTGTAGATAAGGATGTTGAGGCATCAGACCTCTTAAATATAAAGTATCAGAATTACTTTTATTTAGAAAATTTTAAGGCTAGCTACTTTTATGAGAGAGAAATATTTATAAAGCTACATAAAAAAATCTAAAGCATGACTGTCATGTCACCTGACAGCTATATAAAAGAAATTGTAACATCGAACAAAATTCACTTGAAATTATGCTTCCCTAGTGGGAGCCACAGAGTCCGGGCCTGCTGACCCGGCAACCCTAATATCAAATGGTCTTATCTTAGGCTCGGGAGAATACATATCAAGGCTACTTCAAGAAAGAGAAACCTATAAAATATACTCAGGCATCTATACGATTTTCCTGGCTCACTGGTTGATCCAAGACAACCTGTCTCAAATTCTGAACTATCATTAGGAAGTGATGTTTACCTCTGGGACTCCTGGGGCAAGTAACTTAAGAAGAAAGTCATGACTCTCACCTCTGTAAGAATCCTATGGCTAAAACTGAGTTATATGTGGGTGACTGAAGGGAACAAGGATGCCAGCCAGTGCTTGGACCGCCCCTGATGCCTCTGCCATTACCTCAGGGATGACCTAGAAGAGTGGGGATAAACGATGTAAATAAAGGACTACAGAATCAAAAGGGGTAAGACATTGAAATAGACCAAGGGGATTTGCTGATAACTCTCCTAGTATTCTAACCAGTCCAGGGTCTCTGGTGAGAGTCATACGATTGTAATAAAATTTACAGGATACTCTACATGCTTAAAGGTTTCAGGGACATTGCCACTTTGCTTATCCCCCATTCCATCCCCTCAGATATCATCTTTTTTTTAACTCAAAGTCCCAACCTTGGAACAGGTAATTATTCCCTCCCCTCAGCTCCTTAGCCCTTCTGGAACAAAACTGTGACTGCAGCAGGATGGCAATAGTAATATATGGTTGTGGCCCTGTGACAACTTAGGTAAGTTTGGAAAGGATCATGATCAGGCCACAGGATGATGAATTTTTTCAGCCACTAAAATTAATTAAGATCCATATAGTAAAGTGTAGAGAAGTTGGGATCTAAATCAATGGAAGGAGGGCTCACATCAGTGAAATAAGATTTACCTTAAAGTCCTGAAGTAAATGATTATATATAACATATGAAATATATAATATATTTAAAGATATTTATATTTTATATTTACATACACATATATGCATGTGCTGCTTCTAACCTAGGCCCAATCAATCATTCAGTCAGTCAACAAAGATTTATTAAGAACCTAGTATCTTTGCCAAGAAAACCCTCAGTGGGGTCACAAAGAGTCAGAAATGACTGAAACAACTCAACAGCAAATTTCATATATACACATACGTGTGTGTGTGTGTGTGTGTGTGTGTGTGTCTGTGTATATGGATATCTATCTATCTAGATAGATCTATCTGTATCTATTTATCTTCTGTATCTATCTTCCCATCCACCCCACTTAGGTCTGTGATTTCAACAGGGTAAGGAGCTATCATAGAGACTTCCTCTATCAATGTGGGTTGGCACCTACTCTGACTCTATAGTCTTATAGAATTACTTAGGGCACTTAGGTTAAGAAATTGCTCAGAATCACACAGCTAGTATTTATCAGAGGAAGTCCTTTTGACTCTGTTGTTGTTCAGTGTGTCTGACTCTTTGTGATGTATTTGGGGTATTCTTGGCAAAGATACTGGAATGGTTTGCCATGTCCTTCTCCAGATAATTTTTCAGACAAGGAAACTGAGGGAAAACAGATTAGTGATTTGCCCATGGTAACCCAGCTATTAAGTGTCTGAAGCTAGATTTGAACTCAAGTCTTCCTGATTCTAAGCCCAGCATTCTTCCACTGTGCCACCTAGCTGCTCTCCCCAAATCCCCAGCTCTGAGGCTAGGCTGGCTCTCTATCTGCTATACTGCTATCTGAATAATTATGCTCCAACAACGTCAAATATCCTAAGTGTGCAAAGAAGATGCTAAAGACTTACCCTCAGGAAAGGTATATACTTTGAATTTATTCAGTAATTGTGATCAATCATGAATCAACCAATTAATCAGCAAGCATTTATTATATACCTCATATGTGCTAGGCTCTGGGGATACAATGAACAAAACAAAAATAGTCCCTGCTCTGCCCTCAAGGAGTTTAAATTCAACTAGGGAAACCAACATGCACACCTCTAAGTATATATGGAAAGTATGCAAAGTAAACTCAGAAAGTAATTTTTTTCTTACTAGCACTGACAGAGGGGGATCAGGAAAAGCCTCTTAAGAGACAGTAGTTGAGCTGAGCAAAGGAGGCTGGAGATTTAAGAGGTGGATGTGAGAAAGGTGATAATTATCAGTGAGCCCCTGATGTTATATTCTTATGGAGAATAGCATGGTTATTTGTGAGGCACCTATGATAACAGATTTAGAACTAGAAGTGACCCCAAAGGTTATCTAGTCTAGGTAAGACATTAAGACTTGGAAACTTACTCAAGGTTACACAGCTAATAAATGACAGACTCGGGTTGCAAAAGCAAATCTCACTCTAAATTGAGGGCTATTTCTATTGTAATATTCTGCCTCTATGGATGGGATTAGTATAGTTTGTGGTCATAGAGGAGAGTAAAGTTTAATCCCTCTACTAATATCAAACTTGTGGTCTCTCACAAGAAATCTCTATGTAGCCAGCTCCGTCTGAAATAGGATTTGGTTTTAAATAATCAATATGCAGTTGTGCCACACAATTTTTCACGTAAACACCTGCTGCATAAATCAGACCTGCACAACTTGGCAGTAGATAGGGACCAAAATTAAAATAGGCTAAACTTCTTCAGGCCACAGATAGGTTCTTAGTAGCTTACTTTCAAAATAAAGGTATAATTAATGATTAAACTATTTTGCAAATAAACCATATTGAAAAAAGGGAAATTTCAGTTAATATCAATTAATTATACTTATTACTTAAGATTTTTATTTATCATGAAATTACAGTAATGTTTAAAAATTACTTTGCTAAGTGGCATGTTTTAATACATTTTTCAGGTTTTCTTACTATTTGCATTAAGTTAATGGGACATATTGCATTACTTGTCAGCAATCTGTTTATCATACTCTAGAATCATTTTTGAAATAGATTTCTTTAGAAATCTGAAAACTAACCTTAGTAGCCACTTCATTTTCTGAGTTTACTTTCTTGGAAAAACATTGTTCCCCTCTGAGATTTTTCAACAATTTGGATGCTTTAATTTGTTTTTCATTGGTGTCCAATTTGCTTAAGTCAGGATGTTCTGATTCAAAATGGCGACAAAGATCGTATTCCTTCAGAACGACTATTACTTCTTGGCAAATGAGCCACAATATTTTGTCTCTCATTTAAGTAAACAAGTATCTATTTGTACACTCTGCATTAAATACTCTATGTTCTGATTCGATCTTCCATTTCTTTTTATCACTGATTCTACAAAGTCACCCAACAAACTTCAATGTTTAGAACCAAAAAATCTCCACGGTAACCACTCACATCCAAAGAAATACTGAACTGAGTGTCTGGCCTTGGAGAAAGCACCAGTCGTGTAATTTGGAGGGTGGATGCATGGCAAGGGCGGGGAAGAAGCCCTTGTGTTGCTGCCACTCATTGTATAGCAGGCATCAGCTGCGTTGGCGTTTGGCTGCGTTCACTTTGTCCCTATTCAATGCCAGTAATGACTGAAAACACAGCAAAAAGATACAACTCTTGCTCCTTTCAGGCTAGAGACAGATTGACAATGGTTGGTTGCTGCAGGTCACATGACAAACAGGAGAGCCGTGTGCGATGGCAACCTACCCATGATGGGCACAATAGTGACAAGTGGAAGGTGGGTTAAATGAGGCATAAACAAAGCACTCATTACAGCTTTACTTTGTTTTACGTCCTCTATATTTTTTGGGGGCTCCCCATAATCCTTTGGCTGACTGAAAGCAGCTTGCAGGCCATATGTTATGCAGGCCTGGTGTAAATAAAAGTGCAGATTTGGATTCCAGAGCACTAATGATGAAACACATGTCCTCCCTTTCCTAAGCACTGCTTTGGCAGTGGATCACAGATGTGGAAAGCTGCCTACTCTCACATACTATTATTGGTTTGCTTTAACGGTTTCCTTTTTGTGAAGAAAAGGCACTGGAAATTGATAGTAATATAAACAATAGAGCATTAATAAAATTTTTAAAGAAAAGTGAATTAAGATAACATCTTTGCAAAAGGCCTCCTAGTCTGGTGGATAAAGTAAAATTTTGGAAATTCGCACTCTGAGCTGGGTCAGCACGTTGTTGTGGATTTAATATCAAAGAGTAACTAGTCAAACAATGGAATAAAAGGAAACCGTTCAGTCCATCTTCCTTCAAGATTTCAGATGAGCCCAGATCCAGTAGTAATAAGAAATCTAAGGAGAAACCATAGAAGTCATTTTTCTTAGCATAAGGTTACAGATTTGAAGTAGAAGTCTAGACGAACAAGGAAAGAGGGGAAACAGGTATCACCTGAACTTCATTTTTATCTAACTGGTAAAAGGCAGATAGAACATACATACATATACCTAAGAAGTTTGATCTAGATACACAATTTATTCAGTTTGAAAACAAGAAAGAATAGGGAGAGGGGGACAGGGAGAAAAAGGCTGGGGTGGGAGAATTTATGAAGATGGGAGTATAACAAAGAAAGGAAAAAGTACAGGAGAATAGAATGGAGGGTAATACACAATTAATGATCATAAATGTGAATGTGAATGTGAATATGACAAATACCCACGAAATGGAAGAGGATGGTAGAATGGATTAGAAAGCAGAATCCAATAACATGTTTTTTATAGGAAACATACAGAATAACAAAAAATTAAAATAAGGTGGTAGAGTAACATCTACTTTAAGTTGAATTTAAAAAAAATAAAGG